AGATATCTTATATAATATATAAGATATCTTATATCTTTTATGAGATATCTTATAAAGAAAGGTATATAAGATATCTTATAAAATATATAAGATATCTCATTTATTATATAAGATATCTTATAAAGTATATAAGATATCTCATAAAGTATATAAGATATCTTATATAATTAAATAAGATATCTTATATAATTTGGTTAAGTACTGGATCAACATTGCTCCATGCATAAATGACAACTTGGCTTGCCATATGACGTCATAGTTGGTAGATTGATCAATGGAATAACTTCCAGGGTGTTATACGCACTATCTGGTAACTCAAATGTTACTAACTCCTAGCAGGTTTATCCAACGAGCCGTAATTGAGGAAACCTAAAGTGATTGTGGGAGAAATTATTTTAACTTATTTTGACGACCTTTATAACCTTTAATGAGTAAACGCTTGCATTGTTGGCTGGTTGCGAACGCGACCCATTAGTTAAATTTTCGAATTGATAATTTAGACACTCGGTAAATATAATTTGAAAACTAACTAACTCGAGTAAGATAAACATGATAACCATATAACATTAGTATGAAGGACATGTTGAACCTGTCAGATCACACTTGATTCTAAGAGGTGTATATATATGTAAGTACCTAACTTTGTAGTAGATATATAGTGTTAAAATTTATCTCAAACTAAAAGATGCTCTGTATCTTATTAGAAGAGTTGAAAAAAAACCATACAACTGTACTTTGAATTGCATGTTATTTAATGCTCAAGCAACGCCCTTTATTTTTATTCGGACACAATTAATCGAGGCCTTGTTTCAATATCGATACTTAAATATGTATTTGGCCCGTTAGTTCAAGATAAATCAATATAGTAACGACAAATAACATTCGCACAAAAGTTACCAGCTGAATACACCAACATTTCTATCTTGCAAAATGTATCTTTTCAGCAATTAGATAAAGGGAGGAAAGTACTTAGATACTTTTGTGGTGATGTTCTTCTTGAACCTTTAGCCTAAAAACAAGACAACTTACAAGGCTAACACGATGTTAAACGTGCCAAATTTCATTTCAGACGCATAAGAGTTATCTTTCTTTAACTGGCAGCAGGCACACCGGAAGTGAACATTCTACTTTCATTTCTACAAGGTAAACAGAAAGACAGCTGTCTTAAGAAACTTGGACGAACCCATTGGATCTGTCCGATAACGGCGTTTTATATTCAACACATATTTTTCTGACACAACGAAACACCACAGAGAAATTTTAACGTGAGTATGTGTGATATTTTCCTATCCATTGTCTTATTTTGGGAGATTCCTTTTAATTTCGTCACAATCACATGACAATGACACTTGGGTCACAGGGATACGACTATTTGTATGTGTGCTGGTGACCGATATCAGTATATCATACATGTATGTGTATTGTACATTTGTAACGAACCCCTGTGCTTGAATCATAGTCATGCCCTAAACACTTGAATCCCGTGCCTATTAGTGATCTTGTTGCTACTTTTAACGTAATAGAGATAACATATCTGTTTTCCTGATTAAATTTTCCTACATATAACCCGATCACAAACTTAAATTCTGCCGTACTTGTGAAACATTACAACTACGTGACACACGCATGCATAGTTTTGTGACATTCGATATCAGTAGAACACAGCTGTACTTGCATGTATCTACCATATGTCGGGTGTGCGAAATTTTGAAATTCAAGACAATTCAGGCGCAGTGAGAAGAAGATATGAAACAGGTATTGGAGACATGTTAGAACTGTGCAGACCTAAATATACCAAACATATGTAACTATACCTGCATGCATGCACAGTATGAAGTTTGAATTATTAGTGATATATACATGTGTATGTCTGCTTTTTGAAACCAAGAACTGTATACCTATAAAATTGAATCTATTGCACTTAGTAGATTTTAAATATTTCTCACCTGTTTGTTCAAATTATTCTCATCTTAATAATATGTGGAGGATTGTATGGAATAAAGGGAGGATTAATTGAACTCGAACAACTGGTATATGTTTAATTACTGTGTTGGTAGGTAATAAAACCTGAGGCAGATGTTTATATGAAGTCAATTGGCCATGGAGAGATGGGTTATCTAAATTGACAGCTGCCTTTTTTTGTTACAGGTGTTCTAACAGAGAAGATGCAGGTGTGTGGTGGGGGCCTGGGATACCTGCCTATCTGTTTGGTGCTGGTTTCCTTTGGGACATTTATTGGATCATACATCATAGCCATCCTCAAACATGATGTTGCTATATACTTCCCTTATATCAGGTATGAAGTTCAGTAGAGAATGATTGGTTTAATTTGTGTGAATGATAGACTACATACACTAATGTCTGTATGGGGAAAGTTATTCCTATTCCGTCCAACTTTAATTTTTTTATTTCTACATTGTTTTGCAATAATACATAAGTCATAGTTTAATAGATTTATACGAAGTGTACATGTTTTTGTTATATATATATATTTTTGTGACAGCAAGGGGTTAAGAACCTGAACTGAAGTGGTATTTAGGGACAAACACATTTAAAAAGGACTAGCAAAGAGACAGGTTTTAATTGCACATATGACAACTATCACCTTCTAGTTTCAGGAAATGAAGTATTTCCTTTCAGCTCAGTAACAGATCTAGAGTGTCAGATTGTATTTGACAGCCCCAGTCAACTGAAGTCTAGAGTATTTGACAGCCCCAGTCAACTGAGATCTAGAGTATTTGACCACCCCATTCAACTGAGGGCTAGAGTATTTGACAGCCCCAGTCAACTGAAGTCTAGAGTATTTGACCGCCCCATTCAACTGAGGGCTAGAGTATTTGACAGCCCCAGTCAACTGAAGTCTAGAGTATTTGACAGCCCCGGTCAACTGAAGTCTAGAGTATTTGACAGTCTCAGTCAATTGTTTTACCCTGAGTTTTTGACAGCCCTATTGAGCTGTGAAATCTAGGGTATTTGACATTGCCAGTCAACTGTGAGGTAACATTATAAAGCCCAAGGCAACCATAAGTGTTTACAGGAGATAGTGTCATGTTAATTATTACTTCTTCACCTTCTTATATCGGGGAACAAACCAGGGATAACTATCATTACTTTGGTGCAAAATGACAATAATTAGAGCTCCTTTTGTCTGTCAGCTCATCTGACAGGAAAGCGAAGGAACAACTTAGACGATGGTTACAAGACACTAATTAGCAACTTGTAATTTTCCTTCTTTTGCCTCATAAAACACAAAGTACTGAGGATCCAAAATGGCATAAATCACCTTCCATATGTCTTTGATATATACATAAAAATAAAAAATAAATAAAAATAACTAAGAGTATGACAGTATGATGACATTGTGTTATATGTGGATAAATTAAAAAAAATGAAATTCTATTTCTAATTGAACAGCGATACAGGAACGAAACCACCCGAGAGCTGTATATTTGGACAGTTTCTAAACATTGCTGCAACTTTAGGTAAGTTTTGTCACAGCTCAAAACTGTTTTGCATTCAAAAGAGTTATTTCCCTTCTCACAGTGCCTTCATCAGAAGATAGACTTTTACAGACCATTGACAATTTAAGTCATTTTAGGGCCAAACAACATTAAAAACAGACATTCACAAAAAAAAAATCAAACTTAAGAGCATAGAATATTTAAAAGATGCATTAAATATCAATAGCATACATATTCTTTGTAAATCATTATATTTCCAAGTGTAACTTGTATATGTTAACATAAATAATCATTACCAAAGAGCACAGAAACTGTTTCAAACAAACTTTTCATTGATGTTACATTGTAGACTATTTCATTCATTTGTTAAAAATCTGCACATTCAATCTTAAAATGTATTACAAGAAACAGTTGTTTTTGTTTTTGGTTTTGTGAAATGAAAATAATTACCGTATGGATTTTTAGTGGATAGTTCCTGTGAGATATTGCCTCTCTGATGTTGAAATTATTGTTGAGAATTTTTAGATATTGTAGGCAGTACAGGGTCTGTTTAAAGTTTCCTTTAATCATTATTATTAATAATAATTTTTCTGGCATCACATTTGCAGGATGAAACCAAGGTATGTTGTAACTGCACAAGATTAAAAAAAGATTATTTTCCTAACTTATCAAAAAATATCTCCTTTCATGGAGAAATTCGTAATTTGACCATGTACATAGTATGTATCTATTTTGAATTTCTGAGAGATTTATTTAAACATATCCTTGGAAAATCTATACAGATTTTGTATGAAGAAAAGATATCACATCTTTCTGGAATGCACTCCCATGACCTTTGTTGAGGTTTTTGAGTTAATTCCAGGAATCTATTTGAATTAGCCAGAATTTGAGCTTGTTCTGTGTCTTGTACAAGGAGAAATTGAAGAAAGAAAGAACATACCTGTTGTATCTCATTGTATGTAATTGTATTTTTAAAACAACTGATGTTGCAATCCCTGTAGAATTTGGTTCTGTGTCAGCTTAACCTTTCAACCCTATGCAACTTTAGTAATCTCTACCATGCATTGATCTAGATGAGTCCATTTTGATATACAGTGGTAAAAAGGGTTAAAGGACATTAAAAAACAAAGTTGAATCTACTGCCCTCATTGAAACACTTGGGAACTCTATATTTTCATGTCTGTCTTACCTAATATGTCTTTTCTGCCCCAGCCACCCATTGTCATATTACCTTGTCTGTTGCTAGGACATTAAACTCCAATAAACAAATGAAAAAAAACCAGAAAAAATTTGCTATCCAGAAGTAATATTATGATACTTTACTGTTGTATTTCAGCCTTTTGTACTATGTATGTTCGTTACAAGCTGGTGGCAAGTCTGACTGGAAACGAGGATACAAAGCTCAGGAGACTCAATAATGCAGGCCTTGTTCTCGGGACTCTCAGTTCACTTGGGCTCAGCATTGTCGCCAACTTTCAGGTAAGATACTTATAGGGTAATCAAAAGCAAACACATTCACTGTCCTTCTGTACTTAACCTTGGTGAGACTTTGTGTTTAGATCCTTTACTCAAATATGAGAAGTCCATGACCTGTATTCATGAAACCATCCTCATGCTCAAACTCAGTTTCTTGCTCCCGTGATAAATAAAAAAAATCTATCAATGATTTGGAACAATTTTACAGAGTGTTACATGTAAATACCATTTAAATGGCTCACATGATTTAAGTGGGTAATTATATAGTTAGTTTGAACACTGTAGAGTCCATGCTTGAGCATGGGTATACTTTCATGCATACAGCCATCATTCTTCATATGTGGAGAGTACTACATCATTGTCACTGTGCCCTATACATGTATAACTGACTTTGGTTGTATGATTACCTGTATAATCACCAATGTATGATTACCTGTGTATGATTATCTGTGTATGATTACCTGTGTATGAATACCAGTGTATAATCACCAATGTATGATTACCTGTGTATGATTACCTTTGTATGAATACCTGTGTATGATTACTTTTGCATAATTAACAGTGTATGATTACCTGTGTATGATTACCAGTGTATGATTAACAGTGTATGATTATCTGTGTATGATTACCTTTGTATGATTATCAGTGTATGATAACCAGTGTATGATAACCTGTGTATGATAACCAATGAATGATTACCTGTGTATGATAACGTATGTATAATTAACAGTGTATGATTACCAGTGTATGATTACCAGTGTATGATTATCTGTGTATGATTACCTGTGTATGATTACCTTTGTATGAATACCTGTGTATGATTACTTTTGCATAATTAACAGTGTATGATTACCTGTGTATGAATACCAGTGTATGATTACCTGTGTATGAATACCAGTGTATGATTACCTGTGTATGAATACCAGTGTATGATTACCTGTGTATGAATAACTGTGCATAATAACCTGTGTATGATTACCTGTGTATGATTACTTTTGCATAATTAACAGTGTATGATTACCAGTGTATGATTAACAGTGTATGATTATCTGGGTATGATTACCTTTGTATGCTTATCAGTGTATGATTACCAGCGTACGATTAACAGTCTATGATTATCTGTGTATGATTCCCTTTGTATGAATACCTGTGTATGATTACTGTTGCATAATTAACAGTGTATGATTACCGGTGTAGGATTAACTGTGCATAATAACCTGTGTATGACTACCTGTGTATGATTACTTTTGCATAATTAACAGTGTATGATTTTCTGTGTATGATTACCGTTGTATGATTATCAGTGTATGATTATCTGGGTATGATTACCTTTGTATGAATACCTGGGTATGATTACTTTTGCATAATAAACAGTGTATGATTACCTGTATATGATTACCAGTGTATGATTACCAGTGTATGATAACCTGTGTATGATAACCAATGAATGATTACCTGTGTATGATAAACTATGTATAATTACCTGTATAATTACCCGTGTTTGGCTACATGTTTAATGACTGGTGTATTATTATTTGATTATGATTACCTGTATAATTACCTGTGTATGGTTACATGTTTAATGACTGGTGTATTATTATTTGATTATGATTACCTGTAAAACTACCTACAGTGTATATATTTCTAACAGGAGACTGTTGTTGAGCCAGTCCACCTGACAGGAGCTAGTCTAGTGCTAGGATGTGGAGTTGTGTATGAGTTTGTCCAGACCTATGTCACCTACCAGATGCATCCAGATTTCAATGGGCAGTTTATCGCACGCATCAGACTGCTTATTTCAGTGATTTCAGCGATCGGCATGGTCATGGGTATCCTTTACACAGTTTCTGTTTGTACTTCCATAAGATAACTTTAATCCTTTACTTCTACACGTATTTAAACATTTTTAGACCCTGTTTAGACGACCCACATAAATCACCCCTGATGCCGGGAGTCAAACCTGTAGCTACAGTTCCAACACCCTGGGGTTCAGACACGGTAACAGGCTCTAGATCCCTTGGCTGAATGGACTTGATGAACCATGGGAAGAGGGAATCGCATAGCTACACATCAGTTACTAAAACTTTTAGTCAGTTTCTTTATCAATAGTGAATCTATATGTTAATGATTTACTTCTATTTAGTGAAGAAATAAATAACTCGTACTTAGTCATACACCCCTTAACACATACAAGCATTCACTTCAGCTGGAATATCAAGATATCAGACTGATACCAAAGACAAACTGCACTGGAAACCAGATGAGAAGGTATGTGTGTGGACCTAAGGGGTCCCATTTCTTAACAGGGACTGAAATTAAGATTTAAAATCATATAAATTTTCTTTCATGAAATGTTGTTTGAAATTACAACCAATATACCAGAAATCAGATCTTAGTACAGAGGTTTTTTGAGTTCCATAAATAATAAATGCTTTACTCCAACCACAATATGTTTATATATTGTGGTCAGAAAGAAGCATTTATTTATGGAATTAAAGAAAGAACTATTAGTGCAAGGAATTTGTTTTTTGGTTCATTGTTGGTATTGTACAAAATGTTTGATGAAAAAACCCTGATTATTTCTGTCAAAAATTATAAAAGGAAAGAACAAAATTCCTGTCCCTACTGAGTGTTGAACCTCTTTGTAATGAATGTGTATTTTTACTTCCAATTTAAAGTAACCTCCCACTGACCTAGAGAACCATATGAAGACCTGTTACCAGCCTCAATGTATTGGGGGGGGGGGGGTTAAAGGTCTTGTTAGGCATTTTTGGAACAACATCATAAAGTTGTTTCCATTTACCAGTGTCGATGCAATAAATTGTAGACGATGATTGATACATAACAACGAACCCACATATAGGATGTTATTGATTTGTTTTTCAGGGGTTTACAGCTCACATAGTGAGTACCATGTCTGAGTGGGTAACGGCTGCATTCTTCCTGTTCTACTTCTTCACCTACGTTAGAGACTTCCAGAAAGTAAATGTTCAGGTGAAAGCCGAACTTCGTGTCAGACATTTGGACGAACATCCTTATCAAATTCCTGATGAAAGGTCACCGTTGCTCGCATAGAAAGATCAGAAAGACATTAATAATGACTGTTCAACTTCATTTGGCTTTACAAAAGGTCACTCCTGCCTGCTTAGGAACATCAAAGAGACATTAAAAGATGTCCAACTTCGTTGTGCTCTACAACAGGTCACCCATATGCATGCTTCCATAGAAAGATCAAATAGGCATTAATAACTGCCTAACTTCATTGGGTTTTACTGATTTAGAGAATGTAGATTAAAACCTCAACCAATTTGTTATAATTTTACCACATTTGACACTACATGCTGACTAGTCACAGAAAAACACAAGAAACCTTGATGAAAAAACAACAACTTACAATTCTATAAGACCAATTTAAAAAATAAAAAGCCATGCAAACGTTTAATTACTGTACCCAAGCATGATACTTTCTGCATACTGTATAACGGGAAATTTTGCCGCAGTTAAACCTTCGTCTTTTTTTTCTCTCTCGGTAATGAGAGCGAATTTATCGTAAGAACGAACATCAGTAAACAACATGTTAAACATACCGATCAAAAGTGAAGGGAAATTAACACTGGGCGAATACATATTTTACCAGCGTAGGGCAAAATTAACACTGGGCGAATACATATTTTACCAGCATAGGGCGTAATTAACACTGGGCGAATACATATTTTACCAGCATTGGGCGAAATTAACACTGGGCGAAAACATATTTTACCAGCGTATGGCAAAATTAACACTGGGCGAACACATATTTTACCAGCATTGGGCGAAATTAACACTGGGCGAATACATATTTTACCAGCGTAGGGCGAAATTAACACTGGGTGAATACATATTTTACCAGCATAGGGCGAAATTAACACTGGGTGAATACATATTTTACCAGCATAGGTCGAAATTAACACTGGCCGAATACATATTTTACCAGCATTGGGCGAAATTAACACTGGGCGAAAACATATTTTACCAGCGTATGGCAAAATTAACACTGGGCGAAAACATGTTTTACCAGCGTAGGGCGAAATTAACACTGGGCGAATACATATTTTACCAGCGTAGGCCGAAATTAACACTGGGCGAATACATATTTTACCAGCGTAGGGCGAAATTAACACTGGGCGAATACATATTTTACCAGCGTAGGGCGAAATTAACACTGGGCGAATACATATTTTACCAGCGTAGGGCGAAATTAACACTGGGCGAATACATATTTTACCAGCGTAGGGCGAAATTAACACTGGGCGAATACATATTTTACCAGCGTAGGGCGAAATTAACACTGGGCGAATACATATTTTACCAGCGTAGGGCGAAATTAACACTGGGCGAATACATATTTTACCAGCGTAGGGCGAAATTAACACTGGGCGAATACATATTTTACCAGCGTAGGGCGAAATTAACACTGGGCGAAAACATATTTTACCAGCGTAGGGCAAAATTAACACTGGGCGAATACATATTTTACCAGCGTAGGGCGAAAGTTTCCCAGTATACCGTATTTCACCTTATCATGCATAGAACATGATGCAATTTGTATTCATTTAAATTGACTTGTGTTTCCTTGTGACGACTCAGTAAAATTGAATTTAATGAGGTTAGATTGAAGAAAATCAAATTGGTTGAATATTTCTCTAAATAATGAGACCAAATGAAATGTCATTCTGCCATGTCCAGATCGAGACTTGTAATTCAGATGGCCTTAGATATTACAGTTCAGTGACCCAATCATCTGTTAATTGCCTTAGATTTGCAATCAAAAACAAATCAAAACATGAATTAACACTCTTTAGAATTGTTAATCCAGATTTTAAAAGCAGGACAGCATTCATATATTCTTTGTGGACTCGATTAGGGAGGAAAGATATGATAAGTAAAGAATGGAAGTTGAAAGTATGACAAATGTTTGGAATGAAGCTATTGGTGTTAATACCTTTCCAACTGAAACATTCTCTTCAGAAAGTATGATAATAAATTCTATGGTGAAAGTGACTATAGTAATAAAAATGAACACCTTGGTGTAATTTAACACTATGCCTTCGATTCACGAAAGTGCTATACTCTCTGAATATTTTCAATTAAAAAATCTTTGTTAGGATTATTAAGTGAAATTTTCCCTATAGTGCTAATACAATAAAAGGCATATTGGTGTTTTATGTAAAAAGGAAATTGGTTTAGGCAGAACAGTAGAACTTTAACTGGAATATTTGAGATGGATGTTGAAAATTTGAGAGAAGTCATGTAGTGTTGACGTCGACATAGGCTTATTGATGTTAAATACTTAGAATTATATAATTAATAGCATTGTTTATATTGTGTATAGTGTAAATTTCAAGTTTGGCAAGCTTGTACCTTTTATCAAGGTTTGAACTGAACTGAAATCTCTTTCAATTTACATGTCAGTTGCAAGACAGTTCGATCATAACATGACACTCGCCTGAATCTATCATATTAAAATATATGATATTTTTCATAGAATCAAACACATTTATAATGTACAGACAGATACACAAAAATCGCGTTTTATTTTTTTATATCATTTCCAGAGAAAAGTAATTTGATTTTAACGTCTACCTTACTTGAACCTATCCTATTCTTGTACATAAAATGTTAGTATAGGTACTTGCAGCAGATAGTGGTAAATGGCATAACATTGAATTGCAAGGGATATGTCGCAATACGAGTACATCATGACACAATTAATCCAGGAATTCTCCTCAACTTCTGTTAAGTGGTGATCTTGTTTAGGAAACCACATTTGAAAAGCATTTATTTTTATGTTACCTGATTTTTTATGAAGAACTTATCTGACACAAGAGACCGCTTTGTCGTTACATTAAGAATCTATTTTGAATCGTCAATTGCCAACATTAGTACAAGGTGCAGTAAATAGTTATTTTGTTTGACATTCAGTATCTACTTACTGAAATAAGTTTTTCCCTGTTTCGTATTTCTAATTATCAAGATGCCTAATATGGCATCTTTATAAAGACTTAGCTGTATTTATAAAAATGTTTGTGCGCTCGCACTTTTCCACTACGCGAATTATGCATACATGTACAAGTTTTTAACTAGTCATTTGAAACACGGTCGCGAAAATAGGTAAGTTGCTATATAGCTATGACACATGTGCTAGTAATTACTGAAAGCAGTTTAACTGTACGTGATGTATGACTGTAAATCCAGTTATCCATACTTAAAGAAGTACGTCTACAGTAGTGAAATATGTAGCTATTGTATGTGCTATCAGTGTTAAACGAATAAAAGACTTAAAGCCTTTTATTTTGATCCAGTTACCTTACTTTTTCCAGCTCTATGATACATGCAATAAATGAGTCAAATTTAATTGTGTCTGAATATAACTCGATGACGTAATGAAATCATCATATTGTGGATCTGATTGCAGCCTTTAAGAATCTAAGAATAGATTATGTATATTTTGTTATGATTTAAATAATATTTATCATTCAGACGCCACCTTAATTTGTCAGTTTAAACCTTTGCCATTTTATGCAATAGATAGCTGTAGACATATACATAAACTATATTCTGAAATGTATCCCAGTGAATTCATTTTATAGGAGTAAGGTGCTTATTTCACACTCAGATCACTATTTTTGATTTTATTTTGTTTATTTCATCTTTGTTATTTCTCATGAAAGTCCCGCCATGTATGGTGTTCTGTTCAGAAATGATTTATCAAAGCTATAGCCATGATAAACAGTGTACAATACTTAATTAAAGTTTTCAGCATTGGTACAGGGATCCTTAAATAGAAATAATTTGAAGTCGCTTAAAATTGTATCGCTGGCTATAGTATACTGAACTCCAATGAAACATCGTTGTGTTAAAACCAATTGTATCATGATTTAAAAAAACTAACTGCGATTATTATGGACGTTGTTAGCTATATATTATTATATAGAGTTTTATATGCGAATTTTGTTACGTCATTGCATCAAATTTGATGACGTCATAATTATTTATAACGTTTGATGACGTGATAATGATTTATAATGTTTGACGTCATAATGATTTATAATGTTTTCATTTAGTTAATCGGTTTTTGAGAAACAGAAACTCGCATCCATTCTAATCTATTTAGATTATAGATGGTAGTGTATACGTACAATCTTTCAATCTTTTGTCACTCCTCTCTATCATCAAGTTTGATCTGTCCATGCTATATACAGCAAGGTAAATGCCATGGAACGCTACGCTGGTGTCATATATATTGTGACGCCTAAATATGTATGTAGTGTTGATATAAATATGAAAGAGATAATCCAATTAAATAAGAAACAAGCTAAATGTTCGCTCAATTTTATTTATATGCCTCGTTCTACATCAATGAATAGAAAAGCGAATGTATCTCCGGAAATGTAAAAAAAAAGGAAAGTGATGTTATCACATGATGTCACAAGGACGGGCATTTATCGAGCAAGAAAATTGTAACGTTTCAAGTGTATTTGTCTCTAATTTGTATATATGTTTAAAAAACGATACGCATAAATGAATTGGAATGAAATTGAGTCGAATTGTATGTTATATTAATATTTTAAACTGATGTTGATTCGGGTAATTATATTATGCTATGAACACCATGCAATATCAGAATTATATGAATATTGCGCTTTGATAATAGATTTATGATAATTTCATTAGTTTGTCATGGTTTTTCTCTTTGTGACTGTATATATATATTTATGTATGAAAATAGGTATACCGCTTTAAAATGTATCGGTTTTCTGTTCACAAATTTATTAAGATTTGTTCAACGGCCGCTGTTCTATTTAAAATCCATATTGTTATTAAGTCATTCCACAGTATTGAAAATATAATGCTTCATTTATTCAAAAAGATGCATTAAAAATTAAACTGTTTTTTTCCTTAACGGACATTGTAACTATTCGTCATACATAACGTAACGTGCTATATACTAGAGAGGCAATGCGTTTGCATTGAGTGAGATCTGATGCTATGCTTTATATGGTATGCTATACATATTTTAAGATAATGTTCACAACTATTGCTTCAATAGTATGTCATCATTTGTTTGTTTGTTTGTATCATTTTTGGTCTATTCCATCCATATCTCATCATTAATTTTTGATTATCATTTTGTGTGTTGTTGGTTAATTGACATCATGCGGTTTATTTCTATTTTTTGTAAGGATTACTTACCATTCATTGGGCTGTGTTCTCGTGTCTTGTCAGAGTCAATATTTATATGGTTGTCAATGACAGTTCATGTTTTGGTTTTATAAATAAAATCATTTATATGCTTGTAACTTGTGTTTGTTGGAAGTATTTTTTTTATAGAAAACTGAATAGAGTGCGTCTTACCCATGCAGTTTCCTTCACGGCTTAAGGTTGTCAAAGTATTTCGTTGATACAATTTTTCGGGATAGTGCAACAGGTTAATGCGAAGTATGTGCATTGAGATTATTCAAATAATTTATTTTTCGTTAAAACCATAAAAACAAGGAATGTTCGATTATAATAACACTTCGATGTTGTACAGACTAATTCCCCGTTTTTAGAACAATATGATAATAATACTTAAAGCAAATGACGACAGAGTACCGAAACGTGAACGGGACGTCGATATATAGACTTGTTTTTCGCTGTGT